TGGGTATAGGGTTGTCCTTGAGACGACGTGGAAGTGAGTGCCATTCGGCAAAACGTTCCGAAATACATGACGCAGTAGCGCCAGAGTCAACTAGAGCATAAGTAGAGATAGGTTTTCGATTAGGAAAGGAAAGACGAATAGAAATAAAGAAATGCGAAGGTGCATTAAGATGAGAGCCGGAGTTGGCGAAGATGTATAGAGGAGCAACTTTGTTCAAAGGGGTATAGCCATCCGTCGTAAGACGGATGTGAGAGCGCTCTGATGACGGCGAAGGCGAAGGAAGCGTGTCAGTCAGATGCTTGGAGATACCTGGTGCTCCTCCTAGGCTTTTCCCGAAGAGGGATTAGCCTTTTTCTTGTCCGCAAACCGTTTCTTGGCTGCATCGGACATGTTGGGACAGGAGTCCACCTTATGACCACTGCCACCGCAGTAGACACAGAGATTCTGGGCAATGCGGCGTTCGCGTTCTTGAGCTGTTAGCGGGCCCCGACGGGTCTTCGTAGCATCGATCTGCATGGGTTCACCCTGCGGGAGAACGGAGGCCACAGCTGGTGGAGGTGGAGGCGGACGAGAGTCGAATGATGAGACCTGTTGGATTTCGAGGTCTGGCCGTGCTTGGAATTCTTGGTCTCGAGTTCATGCTGGTGGTAGTCGTTGTCGATCTCGACGCAGATCTTGACGAACTCATCGAATTCCTTTGGCTTTTGACGAACGGTGATGAGAAGTGTCTTGACGTGGTCCTTAAGGCCCTGCTTGAAGGCGGCGATCTTCGAGGACTCTGACCAATCTAAATGAACTAATAATTCTCTGAAACGAGAAGCATAGTTAGCAACAGAGCCGGTTTGCTTCAGGGACGCATCTTCCGATAGGCGGAAGCTTCTAGTCGCTGTCCCCGAAGTGAGCACGAAAATTCCCAATCAACGAATCAAAGTCGTCGAGGAGATGAGCGGCCGTTAGCCTGATTGCTTGGTACCACGATTTCGGGCTACCATCCTCAAGATAAGCAGATAAATAAATAGACCTGTCATAGTCAGTAATAAGGGAACGGCGCTGCAGATGAATAGCATTCGAGACTTCGTCGATGAATGCTTCAACCTCGGCAGCTTTGCCGTTGAACACGCGCGGTTCGCGGACTCGAACAGTGCCACCAGACGAATTGCTGGATGGTGCAGGGCGCGTGGAAGGGGGCTCGTTTGTGCTGAGGGCTTCAACCTTGGATGCGAGGGCTTCCAAGGCTCTGCCGGTTGCACGTTGAGCATTATCAGTAGCGGAAATAAAATTACCCATTTGCATGAATGTTTGCATCAACATGCGGTAGTCATCCCATGAGGGCATACGAGGACCTGTTGGATTAGACGGCAAAGACTGGTCCGTCGTATCAGTTGTATTAGCAGACGCTGTATCAGCGGAGGGCAGATTTCCGCCCCATGCGCTCTGTTTAAGAGGGTCCATTTATTAGTAATACACAACCGTGAGGTCGTGGCAAGGGAAAAGAAGCTCTGATGTGTACGTTACCGCTGGCGGTAACGCGGAGATCGCGTAAGATCTCGACTTGGGCGAATTTTGGTAGGCGGATTCAAACTGTGACTGGGCAACGTCACGACTAAGACGAGAATAGAATGCCGACGAGTCGAGGAATGAGACGAGGACCGGAAGAATGAGTAGGATGCCAATCACTGGCGTTGAATCCGCAAGAGAGTACAAGGCAGCAGACGACAGGAAAAACTTCTACTACGCTTAGGTAATCTAGATGGCGCGAGAATGGCGCAATCGGAATCAACGTGACTGTAAACGATGGAAACACAAGTAAAGTGAATTATAGGTGAGGGTATCCATAACCCTCACACTGTTCGAAATTTGTGTAGGTTTCACATAGAGCTGTTGCAGCTGATGAAGCAGAACTCGGGTCCATGAAGGAATTCTCTTTTCGTCTGTGAAGAGCCCCAAAATATCATCTGCAGCAGCCATAAACATCGCTTCCTTGACCACACTGGACGTGTTCATTTGAGCTTGTTTGACCGGGGCAGGTTTTGGAAGGGTGGTAGACGCTGATGCAGCCGTCACAGGAGTTGCGCTGATAGAAGGAGCTGGTGTACCTGTGAGGCTAGCTTCACCGCTAACAGAAAGGTCCTTTCCACGGGTATCAATGAGAGCTGCAGGGAACTTGGCAAACTCGGCCTCGAACCCAGGTGGGAGACGCGTCTTCACGAAAGCGAAGAGCATTCACTGTAGGACTAGGGGCAGTGTCGAGCGTCCAATTGTACTGTGATCAAAACATTTCAACTCCGTGGACCATGGTCTCCGCATTGGGCATTGGGAAACGTACAACATAGTCGAACAGTGTATCCAGTTACATCTGTCCCATCACTCGTGGTCCCTTGCCAATAGGGAACTGCACGGGTATACCCCCGGGTACCAGAGGTCATACCCGCACCCGTACCCGCACCCGTCAGGGGTTTACCCACGGGTACCAGGGTAGATCAGTGAGAGTTGTCCTTACCTCTGCATCAGTAGTAGCCAGTGTGCAGGCTGCGCTTGTGTGACACAGCGCGTCTCTATAGGCTTGTTTAGCAAAGTTAATGGGCAAGGACTGAATGCTCACCATAGATCTGGAGGTTGAGAAACAGTACGAGACGAGCCCACCATGGGATGTGTGGTGATGGCGCAGTTGCTTCACCAGCTGTGGTAGTACCAGTACCTGGAGCAGGAGGTGTCGTGGAGGTTGAGGTGGTCGTGTGCTGAGTTTGTGATGACGACGCCTGGGTTTGGCCGTGCAATTGGCTTTGCTGCTGGGGCCGCGGCTGTGGAGCAACAACCAATGGCTGCAGATAAATCATTGAACAGCGGCGATGGGAAACATACACGAAAACATACGTACCTTTCTGTCTTGTACTGTAGGAAGGTCGACGATACGAGGGCCACGATGAGAGAAGACGGCGTCCTGATAGTCTAGCTCGCATAGCGCGACGGGATTTGACAAGGGGAAGATGATGGGACGCACGTTCAACGCACTCATCATTTTGACGACTTGTTCAATGAATGCATCCTGGAACGAAGTGAGAGTATGAAAAACACGTACTCTGATGGTGCTATCATGGCTGTCATGAACTCGTCCATGAATTCATCCATCTGAAATATACATGAGTGGATGCATGCGTGTGTGGTCTCTGGGGACACACTTCTGGACCCAATGGGCGTGGGCGGCGAACGCCGATGTAAAGAGGATCATCGAGGTAGTGTTGCGTATTGGTACCCAAGTCCAGGCAAATCGGGACCTGATCAGGGTCAACTGGGTGCGGGTGGATACAAACAGGATGGACTTACAGTTGATGATGGCTTAATGCCGGCTCCAGCGATGTAGAGGTCCCTGGGTAGTTGTGTTCAGGTACAGGGTCTTCTAGAAAAGTGTCAACACTGACAGTTTCCCAAAGCGTGAAACAAGCAAAGACAATTTAGACAAGCGAGAACAGCGCAAACAAGCAATTACCATTTTTGGAAGGTACGGGTACACCACGGGTATGGGTTTGAGTGCGGGTCTCGAAATCTCAACCCGTACCCGTACCCGTGACCCGCACGGGTTACCCATACCTGTGCAGATCCCTACTTGCCAACCTAGCCTGATAGGAATGTCATATATCATGATCAACCTGAAAGCGACAAAAAGATATTGTCATGAATGTGCAAAGTGCAGAGAGAAGAGAATACACACTTTGATTTGCGCTTGCCGAGCTCGACATCACCTTCATCAATCCTCACAGAAGAAATCGCAATGTTTCCCTCGGTCCCTTCGATTACGAGAGCTGTCCGCTCTTGCTGAAATCATTCCTTTGCCCATGGAGCATCATTTTGTTTTTCCAGTGCCAGTTCACAGCAGAAGTTGGCATAGCCATCTTGGTGAGGATGCGCTGGGTGTTTGACGCAACACCTCAAGATTGCTGTTGAACCTGGTTCGAACGCGAACTGGACCTCGTGAATGTGTTCAGAGGTGTTCGGTCCAGAGTTCGACCACCAGCTGAACCTGAACCTTGGGTAACTAGGTGACATTGAATGGGTGTAGGAAGAAGTGGATGATGCGGAAACATAATCTCCTGAAAACTTGAAGGTAGGTGGAGGCTGGCCACTGGTTGATGATGGACAAGCGAGAACTGACACGTGAAGACACTCATCACGTAGAACGGGAGATGTTGGCCGTTCAGGTACCCAGCCCACAGAAGACACGCAAAGAAGGTCACATTAAATAGGCTTAGTGCAGAACGAATGCCATCGCCCAGACAGGACTGTGGCCCATGGACTTGACTCCAGCCTTTCGTTGTCCTTCTTGTCCTGAGATGCTGCTTCTCGTGGGGACCTGAAAGACGAGGGCATAGGAAATTGCACCATGGTGGTACGAACAGGGCAGTTCAACAAACAGACACTGTGGGGCGAAAAGGTGAAGACTGAGGAGCAGTGCTCATGGAGGAAAACTTTGGCAAAGAGATACTTGGGGTATTGAGAATGTAGTTAATTAATCAGTAGCTCGTACTTGGTCTCCTCCACCATTGGGATTTTATGCATAATTAGTATTGAAAATGTTGAAGTGTCTGCGCATGATTTCTTTTCTGCTTGTGTGCGCGCGTGAAATTCCTGTGTGCACATGATTTAATTATGGTGCAAACGGCCCACCATAGTGGGCGTTCTTCATCTCTTCTCACGATGATAGCGGACACGACATACTGGCAATATGCGCAGCTATTCTTTCTTCATCATCGCCTCTGAGCTAGATGAGGAACTCCTCGTTGCGAGTCTGCAACCTTGGGACGACACAATGTCAAATGCTCTCGTGTGGTGCGTGTGCAGCCAGTGCTGTCTTGCTGATGGTGGTCGACTCAATTTTTCAAGTCGCCGTGGGCACACCCATCGTCTTCTCTCATGATGATGGTGTGCACAGCATATACTGCTTCCTCTGCAACATTCATTATCCCTGCCGTATGAGAGTACGAGATGCTGCCCAATTCACAGACATGTCTGTCATCGGCCATTTCAAGTACCACTCGAGGTAAGACCTATCGACGCTCTGAAGACTTTGACACATTTCTTACCCATCAATTATCAGGATGATGCAGGTGAGTTTTCTTGGATCTACACAGTGATTGGAAATTCTACTTGAAATATAGCTCTACGAGTTAGCATCAGATAGCATTCCAAAGATATTGTGAGCGCATATATTTGATGTGAGTGACTAGGCTCATGTCAAAAGAGCCTTTAGAATGGATTGCAGGCGGCCCAGGGGAGTGGGATGACACACAGAAGAGCCTCGATGATCGACATTATCCAAAGGTATGTGATTGTGTCACCTGCTTATTGTCGACTGACAGTCTTCCTCAATAAGGACCAGATCAACTTAATATATGCACCTATATCTGTATCAAGACCCTCCTCATCTTCCGCTCATCCTCCGTTGGTGTACCATTGTTGCTTCTGCATCCTCCTGGTGACCACGTAAGTACCTCAGATTCTGTGATACTCATATCTGGCTCACACCCGAGGAGGTTTAGCAATGTTGTGGGACCAGACACACTCGTCCTGACTCCCCCCTTTCCTGTTTGGCTGGTCATGCTCGCCTCGTGTTAGACATGCTACTAGGTACAGTTTCTGGCTTCCTTTTCACACCTGGTGACCTGTTGCTGATCAGTGGCTTGAAGGACACTGGCTGGCTTCTTTGGCGTGATTCTGATGAGCGCTACCATAATCATGGTCCGGGAAGGGTGCAGCTTAGGTGGATTGGTCAAAACATGCAGGGTGCAGGGCTGGAAGAGCAGGATTGAATGGATTAGAACGATATCTAGGCTACTGCAAATTGAACTGTTTCGAGTAGCTTGACCATGTGCAAATAACGGCTTCTGATTATTCAGGGGAAATGAGTTCCTTTATTGGGCGATAACTTGCTGATTACTTGGACAAACGGTAAAATAAAGTTGACATGTTTATCTTATGGTTATCCGTTGTATATCTTTCCGTTACTTGATGTTTCCACAATATATCCCCCTGCCATTATTTGACCCCAATTTCCCATCGATCGGGATGTTTGGGGTTATAGTTTCTGCTTGCACATGTGTTTTGCCTCGGTCGCTTTGCTACAAGTACTATCACTCACTACTCCGCCTTATTCATCAATGCAACACACAAAACGAGCAGAGATTAGATCACTAAGACAGCTGGGACCTGCGAGGGACATATGTGACCTGTGTCAGCGATGATTTCTCGACTGATGTGACTGCGGCCGCGCAGCCAGAATCATTTGAATTCTGCATGAATGGCCACGAGGGAGGGAATCGTTGAGACAGAAGCCCAGTGGAAGTGACTCGAATCAATTTCAGATAAGTGCTATTTTTAGTACTTACTTCGCCCGGGCCAGCCATCCTCAGAATTTCTCACACAATCTCAGCCTGGTCTCAAAATTCCGCACAACCTCGGCGGCACAATCTCAGCCATTCTGGCAGGTGCAAGACCTCCGTATTCACTTCCCGTCCGAATGTTGGCCCATCTCGTGCTTTTTCTCTGCTGTGCGTCTCCTCAACACGATGACAATACACAACCATCTCTACGGTGTTTCTCGTGAGTCTTATGCTTGTATGTCCAACGTTTTTGAGAGTAGGAATTGGGTTAATTCTTCACTAGATTTCGGTTGGGTTTTCGCTCAGCATATCTGCAATCGCCTGGGTCCTGCGTACCTCCACCTCAAGAATATCTTGGACAAATCGAACCCCTTACACGCTGAGGTGCTCAATGATATCAAGAGATGCGCATTGAGCAAATCTTCACGCGAGAGAGCATTGCTAAAGTCATTCATGCACACGCTGAAATTGTGGGTTGCCAGTTTCGCTCAAGACGTCGCATTAATAGTTCTCCAACAGATTTGTCTCCTCAATGCCAATTTTGCCATGGTACACTATCCAGCTGCGGATGAAGCATCACAGCCCGAGGGAGTCTGCTGCTGTATTTGCCTTGGGTGACTTTGACGAGAAGCGCCCAGTCCTACACTCTCCTACCAGCGGCTTCAAACCACGCAGCCCCTGTCTGACTCTGAGCTGTACCATAAATCAGACGTACAGTCCTGAACAAGCAGGATCTACAACTTCTCGAGAGCTTGCTCATTTTCAACAAGTAGGGTTGAAAGCCAACGGTAGATTAGTAGCTGATCTTGCCGTAGGCACATTTTGAAGACGCACTTCTATCAATCAACCAACGAAGGTCTCGCCCCTGAATTTTTGCCCGAGATTGAATATCCAAACAAACCTCTTAGCTTGTCTATCAACATCGGAAACGAATTCCGTGGCTTCCACATCCGCTTCAGGGATGTTCCCGCGGCAGCATTCGTATCGTCGTATCGCAGAATAAGGAGTAAGTGTGCCTTTTCTGGATTTCGAAATCCTATATTATCTCTTCCCACCTTTGCATGGTTTCTCACCTTTCACCCAGCCTTGGAGCGCCGCCCAGACGCTGCTTCGAGAAATATGTCGATGTAAGTGCCCATGTGTGCATCAGTTGATGTATACTGATTATGAAATTTGGCTGTCATTGACCTGCTTATTCTTAGTGTGTGCCGTCGCTTCTCGATTCTACACCGAACGCCCAGGCCTCTACGCCGAAGTGATGCGATATGCACAGCTCGCGGCAGGCACTACGCTTTTCACCGGTCCCAAGAATGAGGAGATGTGTCTAGCTTACATACTGTTACAGCTTTATCCTGTTCCATCACGACGCTGGGAAGAGGATCGCAGCTGGGTGTACCTTGGTGTCGCAATCCGGTAGGGAACTCTCGACACTGTCTCACGGCGTCTTCTTACGTTGTTCTAGACTGGCCCAGGACCTCAACCTGAATAGACCTTCGACTGCAACGCCCCTGAATGAGCACCACGCCCGTGTCCTTCTCAATCGCACAAGGGTCTGGATCAACTGCTTCAACTTGGACCGGTCGACTGGCGCTCAGTATGGCAAAGCGCCCATCATTCCTAATTCCGATTATATTGCAAACCATTTGCACGATTGGTGGTGCTCCTCCAAGTATAATTTCGAGGACTTTGACATTCAACTTTGTATGTACTCCATGAAGCTCAATATCGGCGCAAAATTCATGGGGAAGATTCCCAGCGACCCAAATCACCCGCTCGGACTCAACAAGGTACGTGTCCATTCGTTCCCACGATCCCTTTGACGCCAGTACTGATGAATTTGAAGTCTGCGAATTTCACTCAGATTGCTAGTGAAACTGACAACGAATTGGCACGCGTCGGCGCACATTGGTTCAATCAGTTAGATGGCATCGAACCGAAAAGCCCCATGTTTATTTTCCGTACTGGTCTTTTAAAAATGGCCTTCAGCTACTCCCGTTTGGTCGTCCTTTCTTCTGGCCTGCAGCATGCCAAGGAAGACCACTTGGATGAAAATTCATTCTTTCAACAGTCAACACCGCATCGTAACCTCTGTCTCTGAGTCAAGCAAACCCGGATGGACGGAATAGTGAGTGTCACAGAAACTGCCGGTGTCGCACAACAAATCACAGTTTGGTATTCGTGCAGCTACTACTATTAAGTATGAGGAATTTCAATCACATCTCATCAATTTGAATGGCTTCACATATCGCAAGAAGAATTATGCTTTGCCGACCAAGATCTTCTTTGATCCTACCCAGAGCTTCACGCACGACCGCAACCTCCTGTGCAACCTGAGCTAGGGATTGAGTTAATCCCCCTTCAAACAATTTGGATTGGCTTTCAAGCTTCCTACGCTTCAATGGTGGAAGTTCGATGGCAGGCATAGATGCTGCCCGCATATTGGTAATGTCCTGGAAGAAGTTACGCGGAGTCTGCATGCAGTAGTGAGTAAATCATTCAAATGATTGATGAAACTGCGCACTTACATCATCCTCATTACAGGTCTTTCGTTTTGGACTTAACACATCAATATTATCGGGGTCGTCATTGCCAGATTCTAATGCCTGCAATTACGCTGATCAGAATAGCCTCCTATAATTTGCCCGTCCGACATACCTGCTCTAGGTCTGGATGTGAAGGTGGGTTTTTGTATCTTTCCATCTCACTATACTTGTAGCAGCCGCAGGAATACACAGGGGCGCCCTGCCCATTCGAGTTATATCCATGGCAGTCCTTGTGGCTTTCCGGAGTAGAACACCTTGATAAATTGTCTCCCTCGCCTCCCTCGAGAGCCTCGATCTTGAAGCTAGTGTTCATTAAGATGGCTTCAGCTCCATCGTTGAAATCAGAAGGACGAGAGTCCATGCTATGGGAATCCCAGTCAGAGTCGGATGACATGTTTGTTGTTGAGTACTCTTGGAAGGGCTGTCTTTTAATCGCATTTCTTTTGCTCTCACGTCCTGATTAGGATATCCTGCCTTATATATCCAACTCATCCCGGTGAACTCATATGGTTTGGATTTTCCACTAAGTGACTGTATGATATGACATGGATGTTGCTACGGATGTGGTACTGGCATTGTAATACAGAGATCACACTGGAACACGCCTGTACACACCATAGCTCAAGCGCTCATGGAGGGCTATAGGGAAGTAGTGAGAAATTGAATCACCGCACTACTCCGACCAAAATATCCCATTTAATATGTCACGCAACTCAATATTGAAACCAAAGTTGAAACTCATCATAAAACCCGCCCTATGTCTTCACCGTCAATCCCATATCTTTCAGGCTCTCCTCGCGAACATGGCGCAGGGTTCCCTAATAATTGTGCAAATGTACACAATGCAGAGCGCAAACACGACCTACAGGCATATTTGGTATAGTTCTTTTAAGTTTCACTTATCTGCGAGCATTAAGTAGTTGAATATAGATGGCACTCGACGGAATCGACTTGGAGGAAGATGATCAGGATATTTTGTTCACCCAGCTCAGCGTTGACACCGTATATGCAAGCTATGCTGCTGCGCAGAACCGTGTTCGCCAGTACACCCAACTGTTGACACTTCTGAAGCGGGAGGAGGATCTATGGGCACAGAGAGTGGAGAAGGCAAAATGCGTATTGCCGGAATATAAGTCTAGATGGTTGTCAAGCTGCCAGCTGGAGTTTTGATCCATTTTGAGTTCTGGCACGGTTCTTTCCTCTACAGCTGGCCATGTTTTTTGCTCTATATATGATACTACTAGTCAGGTGTACTGTTATGTACTGGATTTTGATCATACTGCGTATCATTGACGAATTCATGATTTCTCGCACATTGTATCAGAATTTCTTGTCGTTTGGACCTTACAATTACCTTGCGAAGCAAGGTCTATTGGCATCTGGTAAATTCGCTGACCCGAAGGTCACAAAAACAACGATACGCAGTTGGTACGAGACTGTTGAAAACGATAGAACAATCAAGGGCGACGTCACAGAATAAAGACGAGTCTAGACACGGATTTTTCAAGTAAGCTTCAGTAAATGATAATCACTTTTCGGACTTGCGAAGAGCTCGAACCAGAGGTCGTTGTCGATTTGTGGCATAAAACAAATAAATGACATCTGCGGAGCAAGGTCTATTTCGGCAACGCCAAACCCTAGTTATGTAATTGGACGCTGCGTAAGTATCAAACAAATATGGCAAGATGCCTAAATGAGCCTGGATATAATGTAGTATACCGTATCGCAGGCAAGTTGGTTTACTGTTGATCATAATTTGCAAGCGCTCATCGCTCAGCGCTTGGTCTTTCTTATTATTGTGGCAGCCGCTACAGCGGAATGCATCTACCTCGGCTGCCTTGGATTTCTTTCATCATCTTTATCCTTCTAATGGTGTCCTGTGGTGCATTGCGTTGCTCATGGGAGAGAGACACGGACTTTCGTGGACTTGACAGGCATCGCACTACGTGCAAGTATTATCAGAAGGAAAGCAAGTTAGCCGCAGAAAGGAGGCGGGACCGGGCAAGGCACTCAGTATCGCAAAATTTGAGCTCACAACTCACAGCAGGTAGCAGCAGCGTAGGTCACTACTTGGCACTAGCTGCGGGTTGATTCACATACCTTCCAATCCTTAGCTCGCGCCGATCCGACCTGTGAAGATTCGCTCCTTGAAACCTATCGCCCAGTGCAAATCCACAGAATGCCCGCCACCTGGTATCAGCCAGGCCATCGACAGTACCGCTTGTGCAAGTGCCTCAGCTTTTGTATTCCAGGACTCAGGTGTTTCGGATGTTGCCATGGAGGACGCCACTCAACACCATGATATTTCAGGTGTGCACCATCATTAGATTATGTGCCTCCTTCATCTCATAAATTAGTAGTAGACTCAGGTCAGCATCCCTCACGGCGTACACTTAGGCTAGTTCCAAGATCTTTCGACGATTTCCAACCTCCCGAAGAAGACATTAACCCTTCTGATTCCTCTGGCAATGTCCCATCTACTCTCCCTGATATTCAGAATCCACCACAGCGCAGGATTCAAAGAGTTATTTTAACGCTGCGCGATTCTCTTCAAACGGCATTCACCGCGATTGGACTCTGTCGAAAATATCCTAGACGCCCATCCTTCGAGCCCGATAAATTCATCCCATCTCCGCTACTAGCTACATCCTGTCCAATGACTGCTGATGCGCATGATACTCAGGCACACGATCCATCCCATGGGGTCTCTGGACCACCTTATCCCTTTGCTAATATGACCATCTACCGTCTTATGACGTGGATGAATTTTGGAAGCCATCAGAAATCAGAGGCAGAAGTAACGCGTCTTGTCAACGATGTTATCCGGGCGGAGGACTTCGATCTCAAGCACCTGGATGGATTTTCAGTTAGGAGGAGTTTGCGTATGTTGGACAACCATGGTGGCAAGGGGAGTGTCACCTTTCCAGATGACTGGCTGGAGACCGATATTACCCTTGAGATACCTACGCGGTCAAAAGAGGACTCATCGGTATCATTCAGCGTCCCAGGATTTCATTATCGCCCACTTGTGGCTGTGATTCGTTCCGCATTTGCTGATATTCAAGCACGCGCATACCATCTGTTCCCTTTCCAGCGCATTTGGAAGGACCCCCTAGACGACCATCACGAGCGCGTGTTCGATGAGCTCTATACCTCCGACTCCTGGTTAGAAGCTCAGGATGATCTGCAGAGGCAGCCAAGAGAGCCCGGCTGTTCACTTGACCGCGTCATTGCCGGACTCATGTTCTTCTCGGATGCAACACATCTTGCAACATTCGGAACCGCTAAAGCCTGGCCCCTTTATCTATACTTTGGAAATCTAACGAAGTACGCGCGCTCAGCACCCAAATCCGGTGCATGCCACCTTGTCGGTTTTTTACCCTCCGTAGGTGAACTGCCTCCCGTGCCGTTCTTCTCTCTCATGTACAAGTTTAGCTTCCAGATAATGTAAAAGACGTCTTCAGCAGCTTACATCGAATATCAAAAAGCGGCATGGCCGCGCTTCATGCGCATTGTCGGCGCGACTTATTTCATGCATGTTGGAAACACCTCTTAGACGCCGAATTTGTTCACGCTTATCGCCATGGAATCGTGCTCCGGTGCCCAGATGGAGTATTCAGAAGGGTATTCCCACGTATTTTCACTTACTCGGCTGACTATCCAGAAAAGTACGTTATTTTTCTATTTCTTCATTGACGTACCAACCCTCACTTCAGGGTTTTAATAGCTACAATCAAAGACATGGGCTCTTGCCCATGTCCACGGTGTCTCCAGCCAAAAGCCTCATTCGACCTCCTGGGCCTGTTTAGAGACATCCAAGATCGCCTCGCTAACCTTCGAGCTTACTGCCTGGAGCGTGTAACCATGGCCCGCAGCTTCATCTATAGCGAGGGAAATACCGTCAATGGCTCCAAGGTACAGACGACCCTAGGCGAAGGATCCTGGGTGCCAACCATAGTGAGTGTCTTGGAAATTAATCCCCTCAGGCCTAGCACCTGATTTTCAACCAGAATGCATTTGCGGAAAAATTAGGACCTCTAGGATTTGATGCCTTTCGCATGCTCGTTGTAGATTTCATGCACGAGTGTGAACTAGGTACATGGAAGTCACTATTTACACACCTCATCCGCCTACTTTATGCCTGTCCTGGCGGCGACCGCCTGGTTGCGATTCTTGACAGCAGGTTCGTCCTACACCATTCTCCTCTTTATTCAAAGTGATGGCATTAAACTTAGATTTCGTGATGTCCCTTCATATGGCCATGGGGTTATTCGCAAATTTGCGAACAACCCCTCGGAAATGAAAAGGCTGGCCGCGCGGGACTTTGAAGATATTTTGCAGGTGTGTTTTTCTGATTCCGTTGCCGACATGCACTATTTACAATCATTTTCAGTGTGCAATGCCTGTCTTTGAAGGCCTCTTGCCAGATGGTCATGACGCAATCATACAAACACTTCTCTACAGGTTTGCCCAATGGCACGCCCTCGCCAAATTAAGGCTGCATTCTGAGACCACCTTGACCGTTTTAGATGAGTCATTCAAGATGCTGTGCCGTCAGCTGCGGAAGTTCCGAGATTTCACATGTGTTGCCTTCACCACGGTAGAGTTGCCAAAAGAAACGGCTGCTCGAGAGCGCAAGGCTGCCCGTGAACGCTCAGGTGCCGACAACACGGATGCCAGGAGTGGTGGCCGGAAGGGTAAGAAATTCAACATGAACACTTACAAGTATCACGCCATGGGGGATTATGTATACTCAATCCGACTCTTTGGGACCATAGACTCCTATACATCACAAATTGTACGTGATTCTCTGCTTTGTATTCACGTCTCAATTTAATTTCTGGCCAGGGAGAGTTGGCGCATAGAGCGCTCAAAGCATTCTATCCATTGACCAGTAAACTCGACACCCCAGCTCAACTTGCTAAGCATGAGCGTCGACGACGAGTCCTTCGGCGAGTCGCAGGACACAATTCGCACACTACGGAACAGCCGCTGGTCGACTTACCTGCATGTTTGAAGGATCACCACTACATACCAACACTTTGCCGCAACAACCCGTTAGATTTGTTCAGTTTTCTTCGAGATCATGATAATGATCCAGCTGTAACAGTAGGTGGCGCTTTCCTAATGTTCACTTTATTCAAGATATTATCCAGGCGTTCATACCCAAACTCAAGGACCATATATTATATCGTCTTCGACACTTAGATATCGGCTATTGCGACCATACTTTCACGGATGCCGAGCGCAATTCAGTTATCATCCCAGACAACAGACTCTACACCGTCCAAACAATGCAGGTATGTTGCACACACTATCAGTTTGCTAGTGTGACACTTCCACTTGACAGGTTCGTTACACCACTTATGACCTTCGGCGAGAATACGACATAATCAATCCTCGGACGTCCGCCGACATCATGGTCTTATCTGGAGAAACGAGACCCCGACATCCATACTGGTATGCCCGTGTTCTGGGCATTTACCATATGGATGTATGGCTTGATATTGAAGGTCCAATAAAAAGGCACCAAATTGAGGTGCTTTATGTCAGATGGCTGGCGCCTTTGACTGACCACCAATCAGGAATTAGCTACGCTCGACTTCCTAAGGTCGCTTTTGTTGATGATTCCGACCGTGACGCATTTGGTTTTCTTAACCCTGGCCAGGTCATCCGAGGCGCACACCTAATTCCCGCTTTTGTTTCACACCGCGGAACTACCTCTCTTCGCCATGGAAAATCATTTGCCCGACAATCCGGTGAATTGGACGACTGGGAGGCTTATTATGTTGGCATGTACGTACATCATTTCATCCCGTTGTCCTCATTCTGTTAACTACTTAGATTCGTTGACCGGGATATGTTTATGCGTTATACGCACTACGGGATTGGGCATCCTACTGTCCTGCGCGAACTGACACGAGATTGTGCCAACATGGACCCTACAGATAGCGCAAGATCGGAAGAAAATGAGAACCATGATGATGGGGAGTGGGAGCGCCATACTCAACCTTGTCACGGCGTGCAAGATGGAGGAGGGGAGGAAGACAATGATGACGAACAAGGTGAAGAGCTGGACTGCGACGACGACGACGACGACGACGACGAAGATTCAAGTGTTGAAAATAACCTGGATGACGGGGCAATGGAAGTTGGTGAGGACGTGGACGCAGACATAGATGAGGACGAGGAAGATGACTTCACGACATCTTTCTGATTCATGGCCTAGTACCTACCCCACTAGCGCGCACATGGAGGCGACGCGAATTGGTTCCGCGGGATCAAACGCATGGTCCTTACATATGGTAGATGGTAGATGTATATCAGCACTCCGTTTTTTTCATTCATTTTCACTATAGTCCTGTTGCGCTTACATGCTTTCCCTTTGCGCATTACTTGGCTTTGACATTGCGTTTTTGTCGTCTCGGAAACGTTCGATAGCTCTCGCGTCGGTTTCCAGTCCTCCTCGCATCTCTTTTGCTTCGTGCAAGTTCCTGCATGTACCATAGGTGGGGCTTCACATGCAATAATCCAACGGTGTACATCCAGACGTTCCTTGACCTTGAATTATTATCGTGCTGCCGAACCGTGGCACCCCTGGACCTTGACCACGTGTTGTCTATAGCCTCCAACTATTTTAGCCAAACCCCCCGAAATCGCAGAAACGGTCCGAGAACGCTGTTCATGGCGACTCTCGTTCGTACACAAGTCGTACAGCCCGCTGAGCAGGATGAAAGCCTTCGAACGTCCGTTCCGAAACCATTTCCGAGCGCAGAAGAAAGAGAGCAACTACTTCAGGAAGCACTTTTAGAAGAACTTGCTGAGGAGCAAGTAGAGTATGAAGCCTGGCCAATGGGCGCGTATCGCAAAGCACGCTGCGATCAGCAGCAGCGCTACATAATGTAAATCACATTGCACCAGAAAAACTGCTCGTGAGTGATGGATCTCAATGATGTGTCTCCAAATTCTTAGCCCAATTTTGCAGACAGTTATCATACCATCAATCACTGCCGTTCAGACTTCGTGTCTCATGACACTCAATAACTTGTTATCCATCCCTACAAGATGGCAGCCAATTGTCCCAGACAGGCGCCACTCAATGCCAGCCTCTATGCACCGTGAGCAGGCGCCACAATCATACTCAGCACTTGAGACACTTGTGTTAAATCTCAGAAATCATGACGGTGGGGAGATATCACACAAAGTCCAGGATGACCATACAACTCTCCTAGAAGAACTTAGGGATCGAGTCGATGCTCTAGCGCCTTCGATGAACCGACAGGATGCACATTTTGCGCAAGTTATAGTGTCCCTCCTTTTGGACTTGGACCAATTGCCTGCAGTTTCTCCTCCTTTAGATTCAGCACCTCAGGCATCTTCTTCCGCTTCTCCTGGCCTTATCGATCGACATCCCCCTGAACTCATAAGCACCCTCAAAGCAACTTGGCGATCTACAGTTGGAACGGAAGGCAGGGGCAAGCATTCTCTCCCCGCAATCCCCAATACAGACTGTACAAACCGCGCTGCTTTGGTCCAAGATCGACCGCAAACTAGAAACAGTAACAGCACTTTGTAAAGATCGCGCCGATTCCCACCGTCCCTCCCCCCTAGATCACCTCCCCCCTCAATATGACCACGTAGACCACGACTTCGAGACACCCCCGGAATACGATGCTGGATATCAATCATCTTCCGAGAAGGCTGGTATGCATCCACCAAGGTCGATACCATCTCCCAGCATCTCTAACGAGAAACTGCGCATGGATTTTGATGCTGTGACGCTGGCAATCGAGCGTCTGTACCTCGTTGCACCCCAGCTACACAACCAACGAGTGGAGTTGAAGAGCTCCAAGCTCGCCCAAATGGAGCGCGCACGACTTGAAGGTTCTAAAGTCCAGCCTTCCATAGCTAAGGGGAAGCAGAAAGCTCATGATCGGGATATGCGCGACCTTAACCACATGCTTGAGCTCCTCGGGAAAGCATCAGACCGCAAGTTGACCGATCAGTCAGTTATCATGGATAGCAGACGGATGATCAGGCTCAGGGAAGCAAAACAGCAGTACGAGGATCAGGTAATTCCAGCCCACTTTGGCCAGAGATTATTACTTACCAAAGAGAACTTTTTAGCGAGGCGCATTCGTCGATCATATTGTCCAACGTTCGGGAGCTGGGAGATTACATGATCAAGATGCCATCTTGCAACCCAAAGTCAAAGCACTGGATGAACTTGTCACGCTCCCGGAGTTCATCCGCGAAACAATGTTGAGTATCCCTCACGGGTCACACCATCAAACGATGTCCTCTTCTGGAGATTGACAAGCCGGTCCCAGACATTTCGACAAGAGGCCACAAGAAGTCACGCAGTCGAAGTATATCTGCCCCACAATGGTTGCGCCCTGCAGCGGAACTTAGCCGACGGCTGTCTAAGAGCTCCAGCAGACCGAGCTCATCCCATGGACAGGTCCAATCTGGAACAGAACAGCAAGGTGAGCACTGGGAGATTATTGTCCACACAGCCTAATCAGAGCTGTGCAGGGGGTATCGCACTCGATGTTTCCTATGTCGCCGAATATCACGAGACCTTGAAACATGTCCTGGTCTTCGTGACAGTTTTCGGGCATTCCTGTTGACACAGAACTGCAGGCTGAAGTGTTGCCAACTTCGTCCAGTGGGACAGATGGCGACTGGCTGGTGATTAGAAGCTCTTGGGCCTCCTCGCCTCCACTAAGCCTGCCTGTCCGAGTCGCTCCAGGGAAGAAGGATGCCCAAAGTCGTCAAGGACACTACGAGCTCAAAATTGGGATTGCGAATTCGCAGGCTGCGAGGTCTTCTTCACCCGATGAACCTACCCCATTGGTGTCTGCTGAGCAACTCGTATCGTTGAAGCCGACATCCTGGTCCTGCATATCCTGCTCTCTCCCCCTCGTCCACATCCCAAAGTTGATAAAATACCGCGACCTCCCATCAGAACATTGGGAAGAACTTGTCGATTCCTGGATGTGCCATGCAAACCAAACACTACATAATCACGTCGCAAAACATGGCCGCGGGTTCTAGCCGGAGGAGAGCGAAGCTCTCGTTGGATGTGGCTACATCCTTTTCCAGCAATCGGCAATTGTATCCAATAATCTCTCCTGCACCGAGCAGCCTCTGGTGGATATTCATTTTCTATCGAACTCGTGTTATTGTAGGACGATCAAGAAGACCGACGTTGGGCTTCCGCCAGCGGCCGCTAGTCGATCGTCGGTGCTCTGCTTCGGGAGGCACTGGGGCGACGAGCTGGGTCGGTGCTGTGGTGACGCCTTCAAGTGGTACCACCCATCCGATAGCACTGGCGGCACTGATGATGAGGCTTCCTCTTCCCCCTGGGATGGAAGGGGCCATGGACGACTCCGATCCGCTCGGGTACATTGACATGGATATCCAGGACTGGATGACCTGCGGGAAGATTTCCGTCCAAACCTCAAGGCACGCCTCGTGGGTTGGATAGAAGCGGGCCGAACAATCAAGGGAGGGTTTCGGTGTTGTTGAAGGTGTATACTGTGATTTTGGAGATGATGACATTCATGGGTGTGCCGGATATAGTGGATGAGATGACGAGATAGTAGGTGCTAAAGGCACTTTGCATGAGAAGAACTTAAACGACATTGTAATTCAAAACATGCTCGAGACAAAATAAGAGTTGTCAAAGGGATTGAAGGGGGTCAGCTTGCGTCTTTTGCTCGCTGCAATGACGGTATGTTACAGTTTTGTTGTTAAGTCTGAAGTCATTCTAGATGCGTTGACCAGTGCTAAAGGCACCTTGCATGAGAAGAACTTAAACGACATTGTAATTCAAAACATGCTCGGGACAAAATAAGAGTTGTCAAAGGGATTGAAGGGAGTCAGCTTGCGTCTTTTGCCTGCTGCAATGGTGGTATGTTACAATTTTGCTGTTAAATGTAATGTCATTCTAGATTTGCTGACGAGTGGTAAAAAGCCCTCCCACGCAAAGGTCTTGAATAATGTTAGAACTCAAAACATGAGTTAGGCAAATTCACAATGCTCAAAAAGGTGGACGCGAGTACCCTACCACCCCTCACCGGTAGCAAAGGAGTAGTGTCACAATATTGTCATGGATCAGCCATGTTACTCCGGATTTGTGGGCAATCAATGACCATAGAACCACCACTCAAAATCCTCACTGGATAGATAGTCATATTTAGCAGAGCAAAAATATATCCTTCTACAGTTCTCACGGGTACAATATCAAGAACTCAAGGGATCACTGATGCTGGTGGTCCCGTCGCGCTAATCGAGAACGCAATGCATCACCGTATCAACTTTCTGGCGATATTGTGGTATGCACATTTGGTTATCAATCTACAGACAGTGTTGACGGTCTCGTCTAGTGGTTACGTCTCGGTGTGGTTTATGCAAGCCCTGCTTGTGAGCCGAATAGTTTGCCATATGTGCCAACCTGACACTTGAAATGTACTCAGCTTTACCGATGTTTTGTGATATGGAATTGGACGAGACACGTGATGATCCCCATGGTTGCCCTCTATATTGGCTTGATTGGTGCTGTTCATATTTTACTAAGTGGCAGTCGTCGCTGACATCTTGAGCAGTAGTGGCTATTGTCATCTTGGTCCAGGAGGGTACCGGTGCTATATTTTACGATGCCGAAACCGCTCTTGCGTACCTTGCCTTCCAAGTGGTGCTCACCGTGCTCTACACCACTCTCGTGACGAAACGTTTGCTCTCTATACGAGGCCAGATGAAGCAAGCCTTGGCCGAATATGATTCTGGCCCCTATGTTACCATCATCATCATGGTCGTCGAGTCCGCCATGTCATACACTATCTTCATCATTTTCTTTATAGTCGTATTTGCTATGGATTTAAACACTCTCTCCACTATATGCTTCCTGTCTATCAACCCAATTCAGGTAAGCAGGCAGAAACCTTAGTTATCTGCGTCTCTGATGTTAGCTTCTTTCTCTTTCTTTCAACAAAACCAGGGCATTACGCAATTATTCATCATCATACGTGTGGCACGGGGAAGGGCAGTTACACACGAGTGGTCGACCCGAGTTACTGCAGCACCTACGACTCTAGCATTCGCAGGGACTATATCGAACGCATCAGAAGAAGCCAACGTTGCACGAGCAGCTAGGCCAGAACAGGGCAGTGTCGAGTCGCATCCTGTTTCAACGAAGTTGGCGGAGGCATGAGTGTGTACGGCATGGTGTACTTGATTTATTTGTTTAATTATTGTGTTGTCTTCTTCGTCTGCGCCGCAGCCTCTTTATAGTTTCTCGGACAGCGTGTCAATTGTAGCTTATCGTTGCTTCACAATGATAAACGGTAGGTAAATAATGTACTGTCTACGGGCGCATCAGCACCACCAAGAAAGGCCATCTCATATAGTCTCTGTTGAACTATAGAAGATCGCTATCCTCTCGCACGTCTCGCGAACGAAAGACCGATATTTACATTAATACTTGCTTCGCTGTGGAACTACTCAGACATAAAGTAAAGATCGAATGCATACCATTCGCTTGTTCACGCCGGTGTGAATTGTCTCGTTCCTCGTGAATCGTTTAAGTCTCAGCCATATCAAGGAAGGTGTTTCAGCAACGGGATCGAGTCCACCGGGTAAGCGCTAGGGCGAAGGACTGCACCAACCATCCTAATGAGTTGACGTGTATCTGTTTGCGTGGGTGAGAGTGTACAGCAGAAGTAATGAGCCCAACATTATAATATCCATAGCTCAAGTGTTACATACATGCACAAGCGCCAATGTAAATGGAGATGACTGGATCTGAGTCGAACTAGATTGCTGCGTGGAATTGGGCTTGGGAGGCCGTAGGCTGCCCGTAGTAGGGTGTAATTGTTTTGTTTTCCGTTTCTCCCTTGATGAAGCATCCCTCTACATAATGTGAGGTCGGTTCGACGTCCGAGAAGGAGAAAGAACGTACACGTTTTCCCTTTGCATACGGGACGTCAACAACTGCTGGGCTGCGCTCGTGCAATTCAATGCCTTCACCTCCGCGCCGGTTCAAAAGGCCTCGAGTCCAGGCGAGAGGAGTGGACATCGACGTATCATGTGCATCGAGCGGCTGTGGTGGAATAAGCAACCAAGAAGCGCGTTTCCTCGTGGTGCTGAGGAAGAAGAGTGGTGGCGGCTTCATGCAGAGAACTGAGCCCGCAGAAGTCAGAATAAAACTCGAAGTGATACTAATAACGTACATAAGAATGATCTGGTGGGACATCGAAAAAGCCTGGTGGTACCCGATGGGCAGGCTGACGTCGTGTAGCATTAGGCTCTCTCGTTTGCACTGTATGTTTCTGATAAAAAGTGAGCTACGAGTAGAAATTGAAGTACATATGACTAGCCTTCTTCGCATCGGGCTGCTGCCATGCGTTACCATCATCCCCACTTTGAAACCCACTTAGAAAACAACGAAAAAACATAAGCACACTCACAGATTCATCGCCATTGTGTTTGAGCGCACCCTCGAAGCTCCATATACAAATAGATACGCATATACTCCAGCACTGACAATATGTTTTTCATCACGGGAAATGGCGATAGCGAAGAGTTTGTAGTCGTGCATCAGCGGTTTTCCGACTGGCTCACTGACCTTGAGGTCCCAGATGCGAACTGAGACAGTCTACTGATGCACTGACAAGATGACATTCACCCTCTTTCAGACAGAATGGATCTGACATTGCGAGCGTGGCCCCGAAACGCGAGGAGTTCCTTCCTATCAATAAGCCGCCATTTTCGCATGGTGGTATCGCTCGATGAGGAGATGTGTGAGCCGTCCTCGTTCATATGACGTTGTCATCCCCACCACTCGCCAACTTGTCGCCTTGATGAGAGTATCTGACGGTATGAACCCAAGAATCCGGACCGGCGATGCGATTTGTCAACCAATGTCCGGGTTCCAGCGTCGTATGGTTCTGTCTTGCGATCCACCTATTTCCAGGGCCTTTGAAGACCAATGGAGACACCTCACTGCAGCATTGTGTCCTTCCCACGGGTCACGGGCCACTGGCCATGCTGCCCTTATGTCACACAGTCGTAGAGTGCCGTCTGCACTTCCTATAAAAACCATTGTTTCATCTGGAGATACTTCAAGCGAACCTGTCCCATTTTAAAAGTGGTCAGACCGCTGAAGTTCCTCTTGTAGCTGGTGCCGCCATTATCCAACAGTATAACTTCGAACCATACAGGTTAGTGTATGACTTCAGAACGCCAGCGGTTGGGGGACATTGCGAAGTCAATACAACACTGAGACACATGCCGCATGCTGCCAGTCGGATTCAAACAGACAGGCTGTGATGAAGGAAAACACGGATACAACGGAGAGATGGCTCATACCGCACATGTCGACCATCATAAGGTAGCGGATGACCAATATGGTGCCATCCAGGGCCCTTGGCGCTTGGTCTGCACAGCAAGGTGAATATAACACAGGATAACACAAAGAAGACGCACCCCATCAACCAACTTGAACGATCACTCATATAACTCCCTCGACTGCACACCAAGTGTTCGCCGTCTCAATTGACAGTGCTTTCCTCTCGTAGATTGCCAGAGCTTACATATCTGTGTGTAAACGGGACTTGCCGTGAGTGATTCTCCAGGCGCCTACGGTACATAGGAAAATTTAGCTAGGGCCACTCGCTGACTGTTGTTGAGGATCCCCGTGGATATCTGCAGAAAGCGTTCGGGGGCCAGTAGCGAAACTCTTTGCATACATCGTCCCGAAACCTTCTTCTGCATCTCTAACCCTCGCGTGAGTAATGCCTCGTGCACGTCTATTGACACGCAGTCAAGCGAAAACATATAGGCGTGTTGACTCACCAGCAATCTTGGCGCCTGCAAGACAACGACGACCCTCTCAAATTCAAAGACCCCAATTGGCTGCTCCCGTATACATAGCCCACGAATTCCCTAGTTGAAGATCTCCGAGTCCCAACCATATCTTCCACCACTGATAATATGGAAAAGACGTCAGCAGTGACGCCCCGCACGATAATGCGAGGCCACACCGACCGAATACGAGGCATTGGATACCTAACCGGGGGTCGGCGCATTATCACATGTTCTTTTGGCGGCTCACTTCGACTATGGGACCTGGAGAGTGGTGAACAGATAGGTAACAACTGGCGGGTTGGGATAGGGTTGTGGACCATGACACTATCTCCGAATGGCAACACTGTTGCACTGGTAGGCGGTGATAGTAGTCCCGATGAGAAAAGGAAAGTCGGGTTGTGGGATGTTGAGCTGGGGAAGAACATTGTCGAATGGGGAGGGCCCATTGGTAATGTATGGTCGGTGTGCTGGAGTTCCGATGGTGAGCGAGTGGTGAGTGGATCCCATGATGGGACGGCAAGAGTATGGGATGTCAAGAGCGGTGAACCCGTCCAGGGTCTGAATCCAATCAGGACGGGACAAGGGCGGGTGTGTGTCGTGAGCTACTCACCCAACGCAACAAAAACAGCGACGAGTGGAGAAGGCAAAAGTGGGATCAAAATCTGGGATGCAAAGAGAAGGCTAGGCCAGAGGCTTTACACAATTGGGCAGGGTTATACAGTTTGGAGCTTGGCCTGGACGTCGGATGAAAAGAAGCTTATCGCCGGATCCAATGGCTCGATTAGGATATTCAACACTGCCACATGGCAGCAGATCGGCGTTTTGGAGGGTCATAAACATGTTGTTTATGCCGTCACTTTATCTCGCAATGACCGCCTGCTTGCGAGTACATCATGGGATCACACGGCGCGTCTGTGGGATCTAGACACTAACCTTCAAGTCGGTCCACCCCTCGAGCACCCAGATGAAGTGGACTGTGCGGCCTTTTCCGTTGATGGCAAGCTGCTAATCACAGGTTGTGCTGATACAAACGCGTATATGTGGGACATCAACACCATCCTATCCATTGATGTGAGTGTCAATATACCACCCATCGTCTCACTGACAATCCTGATATTGTTTTCTGTTAATTAGGCACGAAACGTCGAACTCAAACAGGTGTATGAGTCATCTCACGGCTCTCCAAGCATAGAGCACATTCCCCCCTCATTTTTGGAGGTACGTGACACATTTTTCAACATCGTCCATGATAACAACGTCGAAATTTCAGGCTGATGCTACGCAAGGTTTTGACCAGCTCGGAGGAGCAGACGAACTCTCCCCAGGATTTTTCGATAACGTGCTTCATCACCATTTCTATTGACTGATTGCCCTGACCACTGTGCTTTTAGCTCTCCGTGACACCTGGTACCCGGCCCAAATTTTCTGCACTCCTTGGTCACTTTTCCTCGCTCCTTCGCCGCCCTCAACCGAATGAAGCGATCGAAACTCAGCAACCTCCAGTGTCTTCGGAACCACTTTCGCAAGCACTCCTCAATCGCCTGTCCTCTTTCCTTCGCTCTCCTCCAAACACTGATGAAGTACCTGAATTTCCGCAACCCCCAATGCTTTCGCGATTACGTCCACAGGTACTCCTCGGTCACCTGTCCTCACTCTTGCCCCGCTCTCGAATCCACACCGACGAAGTAATCGGGCCTCAACAACGCCCAACGCCCTCGGGCTCACGTCCAGGTGCACTCATCAGTAGCTTGTCCTCACTCTTCCGCTCTCCACTCAACGCCGATGAAGAAGTCGAACTCCAGCAATGGCCAAGGCAAATCACCTCCTCTCATTGCAATCCTCATGTTGTCGAGGTCGCTGCACAACGAGATAAGAAGGTATGTCTGTCTTTAGTTTGTCAATTCGTGGAGTCCAATGATTTCTGTGCAGGCATTGTATGTTGCTCGCCGACCGAAAACAGCTAGTGAAAATGCAAAACGCATCAAGAATCCCAAACCGTGGGTTCGTGTAGTCTTGTTTCTTTGTTGTGTCTCTCCTGGTACCGATGACAGCCCTGGTACTGACGGGACTCCTCGCACGACATAGATAACTGTGATTGATCATTACATATTCTGTTCTAATTCATGCATTGTCGACTCTGGAGAGTGATATTATAATTTAGAGGAACCGTCTCAACGAGTTGACCCTGTTCATTCTCGATCAATTTAAAGTCGGGAACAAATTCAATTTGGAATGGAAGCCCTCGTTAAATACTATCTTGACGCGAGGTCATTTGGGGGTTCTTGAAGACTCGAGAATATGAGCACTGCAGGTTCTGGCGGGCTTCTGAATATACAGCATCGGGTGACGGCATACTGCACAGCCTGCAAAACATGCTGAAGATTTGATGATATCAAGTTAGAAAGTAGGCCGGAAGAAATGCTAAAGTAGAGAGGAAATGTGGCTTCCGAGTCCCTTACGTATAAGATACACATAGCGCCGGTTGCAGACCTGAGCGCGTCGTCTACACAGCAATGAAGCTGTGAAGCTAACAACGAGGATGACGCATGGAACGCACCTTAAAAGACGATTTGAATGAACGGACGCCCAACTTCCACTTCTCCCAACCAAACACCGATCGATCGCTAGTGATTGAGCACTGGGCTCGTCTGAACGGTTCCCTTCGTGAGTGATACAGTAGGTTGTTTGGCAGGCTAAAACTGACCATATGCTTCCCAGCGGCTTCGGATACCCACCGAAATCTCTTGCACATTCTCAAATAACGGCACAGCAACTAGTGTATATACAGTCCCGAAGTTGTCTTCTAGGTGAGGACTAGATTGCTGTAAGCAGGCTGTCTCGTGAGCAATGGCTTATGTGCTTTTCTGACAATCATTAACGAGAAGTAAACCCCTGGATTCAACAATAACCATTGCCGTCTGATAACCCGGTCTGGTTCAGAGATCTCGGCAGACTTTTCTCGCATAGATAGTCTGCAGTACTTGGAACCCCCAGCGCCGACCATGTCATCCTCCACCAGCAAGACGCCAGCGACCATGCCACGCCAGACCATGCAAGGACATACCAAGCGGTTAACAGGTGTTGTCCATCTGCCCAGCGGACGACGTATAATCACATGTTCGTCGGATGGCTCACTCCGACTATGGGACATGGAGAAGGGCACACAGATAGGTGAGGACTGGAAAGAGGATGAATCAAGAATATTGTCCATGGCATTGTCTCCGAACCACAAGACTGTTGCAAGCGGAAGCAATGACGGGACAGTGAGATTGTGGGATGTCGAGACGAGGAAGGCGATATCCAAATGGACGGGACACACCAATATCGTGTATACATTGTGCTGGAGTGCGGATGGTGAACGAGTAGCGAGTGGATCCTGGGATGGGACGGCAAGAGTCTGGGATGTCGAAAGCGGTAAAACTGTCCTGACAATCAAAACTGGTCACAGTTGGGTGAACGCGGTGATGTACTCCCCTGATAATGAATACATTGCAACGGGCGGACGGGAGGATGCAGTCAAAATCTGGGATGCGAAGACGGGCAAACTGACCACCACACTCAAACACGATAACATAGTTTGGAGCTTGGCCTGGACGTCGGACGGAAAGAAGCTTATCTCCGGTTCTTATTACCCGATTAGGATATTCGACACAGCCACTTGGCAGCAGATTGCCATTCACTGCAGAAACGAGAAAATAATCGGGCCAGATTAGACAAAGAATAGAACCTATAATAGGATAGTAATACGATGTATGAAAATAGATGTTTCTCCAAATATTAGGGTCAGGAAAGGTACATTTGCGGTACACAAACTCGACACCGGAAACAGTGGATTTGCGGGCTCTCCATAAGTGCACTACAGTCTAATCCGACATCGGAATTTAGGGATTTGCACGTCGAGTTTACTTCTGATTAGAATAGGAAACAGTCGAGTTTACTTCCGATTAGAATAGGAAACAAGTCTGATTATTATCTGATTAATACTATCGTGCGTGCGCTACTCGTGCTTCCTAGGGATCCTCCATGCAGCTCCAGATTTTCTCTTGCTTCCTCCCCACGGCTCGATGCTGCCCACTAGTAACGCCATGTATCCTGGCCAAGGACAGCGACAGCCTAGTAGGGCTCCCAATGACCTGCCAAACCAATTTAGTCCAGCGATACGCCACGGAACTGAGCCAGAGCCTTACAGTCACCAGTTCAATTCTGGGGGTTCCTCCCTCGGCCTTTCGAACCACGGCTTGCCCCGGCGTGACGATTTTTTTAGTGCTGGGATGGGGGGACAACAGGACGGACCTGTTACACAAACAGTAATTAGTCCAATAGTAACACAACTCGATAAAAACTTACTTGCGAACATATAGCCTGCGCCTGGATCCTTTCAGCATCACCAGCAGGATGTCCACCCAAACCCGGGCCCTTCGCAGTCGAGTTCACCCGAGATGGGGATGATACCGCTGTATCCCTACCGAGCTGCAGCAACTCCGCAGGTGGCTACACCGCACCTAGGTCGGACTCCGACGCCATTCTCTGGAAGCCACACATCGTCTCGAGGACAGTCTGTGGGTCCGGTGACGCAGCACGGCGGGACGGATGGCTATAATCAGCCCCAGAACTACAGCGGCCAACCGTTCTATTCAATGCATCAGCGTCAAATGGGACATCATAGCGGCACACCTCACAACCATCTTGATACCCCCATAGATTACTCCTCCTTGCATTCAACTGTAGCCCGTCTTGTATCCGAAGTGAAAAACCTGAAGGATGTCACTCAGAACCTGCTGTTTTCCAATAACGAGCTTCGACAATTGAACGACTCACTGAAGGCGCGCATTGAGGTAAACGAAGAAGCCATTGAGGAGTTCTTGAAGACCGGCAGAAACAAGAAAAAAGCCGGCATTAGGAATGTATCAAACTCGCATGCAGCCTTGAAAGTAAGCTTGTCAATCAGACTATACGGTGATCGATAGACTTACTATGCATGCGCAGCCAATAATCCACCCTTACTTTTTCGAACTCTGTAATATTGATCCGTGCCTCAGTAAATCAAAGCGCATAAAGTTGTTGGGAGCTGTCAAACCTTTGGATAATGGAGAACCTCACGAGACGGTATCAACCAAGATAGTATGGCACCCGAACTGGCTTGGTAACGTTGATGACGATGTCAACGCACTGTACATCAAGGAGATCGTTAACCTGGTATGGGAAAATGAGAAGGTACGAAATATTCAATTTGATGGATACCGATGAGACTCACATCGTTGTTAAGGCGTGCCGCGAGAATCCTAACGCCAAGCATGAGATCGCTGATGAAGACTATGACCACGCTATCATCACTGAGTGCGTGAAGACGTACTTTCGAAACATTCACAAGCAAGCAAGTGAACAGGTCAGCGACGATAAGGCGGCCAAAGCTCTGGAACGAAAAGATAGACTGCGACAGCGTTCACGTCGTCAAGCAGTGAGTGTCTCATTTAATGATCAGATGTCAGTCACTTACATGATCTTAGGTCACAAAATCACGCCGTCAAGCTGCGTCGGCCTATGAGACTCAGTCAGGTAACAAAGGGGCCGTTGCAATGATAGATACTGACTTTGCCTCCGACATCCTTTCCTACGATTCCGAGGAGGACCTTTCAGCGGACACGCTATCCAGGTGGGAGAGAGCGAAGCTTGCGAAGTTGGCGTTTTATGTTGAAGGTTCGAAATGGCGTTCTGTTGATGTAAGTTGTCATCATGGTATATCTGCTAATAAAAGCATGCGCTCACCTAAATATACAGTATGTGGCCTTCCTGCGCTGGCTGTCTTTGCGCAATATGCAGAAGAACGAGGAGCACAACGAGCCTGATGTGGACGCAGCAGATGACACCGCTCGACCACCGGCTACCAAGCGTCGCAGAACGAACAACACGCAGAAGCACCGCAAGAAGGTCTTTGACCTAGCGCCAGCAAAGATGAACGACAACAAGCCAAAGTCGCACAAGAAAAACGTACCATTCAAGTCTATGGTATCTGCTGTCTGGGCGCGTGACCATGCTGAGGATAAATTCCTTGATGGTACTGAATGGCTGACGGGCTTTTACGAGAAAATGGCCCAGGGTGCGTTGATAAAGGAGGACGAGGAATACTTGCAAGAACTTCAGAGGTGGCACGAGAAAGAGATGGACGGAGAGATGGACGCTGATGAGATGGCAGTTTGAGCGAGTCGTTGTTGGTAGTATAAGTCATTTTACTGTGTATAAACATCGCACGATCAATTTATCTTGTTGAAAAAAAAAAAGACATACCTTGGCAAGATTGATAGTCGCCCATACCTTCGTCTTTTCGACACCGACGGACACGGTAGTCATCGCTAACTGACCATTAATCCAGTCCGGATCAATCAGATGCGGTAACTGAACTTCATCGTCTAGGTACTCTCCAAGTGTCCACAGCCGCACACTTACGGACTCGGCGCTGAAATAGTGTAGTGTTAGTTAACTTGTAATGTTAGGGTTAGGTACTCACAATTTATCCCATACCACACCCACATCACCCTGCCATGGTTTGAACCAACGAACGCGCGCAAACCAGAGTGATCGCACGTGTCTACGCCAAGACTGATCGACCTGGAAAATTTCTAAGACCTCGCCATAAAGATGAATAGGGTTGTCAGCGGGGATAACGACATGAACGAAGGAAGAACGGTTTGATCCGACAGTACGAGAGGCGTAGTAACGTTTCCCCTTGATGACCACGTAATCGAAAAAAATAGCAGCGCGATCAAGCGGGAAGCTGTGAGGGACAACAGGGCGATCACAGAGGCAGTGAACTGGCGCCAGAGGGTATCGGAAGCAGAGTGTTTGAGCGAGAAGTCAATAAGTGTCTGTCGTCATTGAGGTCTTCTGATGGCGGGGACTCAAGGCATAGGATTGACCGGCTGATATCATTAATAACTTCTGTACGATACAAGAGGAAAATGAGACTCACCATCGGCATTTACATCGTCGAGGTCTTTGGATAGTGCCGCCAAGCCAGCGACTGTACCTCGTTCTTCATTCGAGGCTTTCAGCATGATTTCTGCAACCGCGCACGGAAGGGAGGTCTTGCCGTGATTGAGTAAAGAAAAAGTCTAGGAGTATAGTTAGTTAGGGTTAGTGAAAAATTGGTTAGGAGTATAGTTAGCAAAATAAACCCTTACCATCCGTCCTATGTGACATGTCCTCTGAAACTCGGTGAAGAACGTTGTCTCCAACTCGCCATTCGCGTGATTATTGGTCTTAAACGATTTGAGGACTTTGTTCAGCCGTTCGAATAGGAAGGTCCAAAAATCGTGAAGCGGGCCGAAATTGCGAGTGCATTCGACAACATGCGTAGCGTAGTGGTGATTAGGTTTAATCACCGCGGATCCATACAACTTTAAAATAAGAGACATTAGTCGAGACTTTGAGATAAACGTAGAGAGACTTACGTGGATGAGCTCTGAACAATATTCACGAAGGAGGCGGTCTGCGTGGTCAAGTTCTTGATCGCAAATTTGATGCTTGATTAATATTCGAAGTGCGGCGCACAACTTCAAGAAGTTAGCAGGATCGTCGGGGTGAAGGGAGAATTTGGTGTTAGTGGGCTCCGAATCACCATCGTCTGGCTCTCGAGCTGTCGCACTTGATGTCGGTGGTGGCTGGGATTGGGGCTGACCTTCAGGTAGACCTTCGACGTTTTGCTCGATGGCTTTCCGTTTCCCCTTCGAATAATCAGCAACAAATCAGATATAAACTAACTCGTACCTTTCTCTGAGCAGCCTTAGCCTTTTTCTCAGCAGCGAGTCGGGCCTTCTCAGTCTGTTTGATGGCAGCGAGTCGTATCTTCTCCTGGCTTTTTGCCTCGGCTGCAGCTACCTTGTCCCTGGCTATGCGAGCCTTTTCGGCTTCGAAAGCTTCCTTACCACGTTTTTTGGCCGCCGCAAGTGCAGTCCTGTCTTCGAGTTTGTGGGTAGCGTCGGCTTCCTTTTCGTGCTCCAATTTCTGTATCATAGCGACCCGCTGATGCAGAATTTGGTCGTCACTGTCAGATGGTAGACAGGTAGACCATAACTGAGGTATCTAGAAGTATATTAGCTACAGCGCTAGCGCATAGATAATATAAACTTACAATTATTGGGCCATAAGCGGTCGCCAGGAGGAGCCATTGGTCTGCGGTCAAAGACCCGCCTGATGGCATCCCAATATCTGTGGGCAGTCGACCGCATGATCCGGGAACAATGAACTAAGACTAAAGTTAGGACCATAGGTAGAGATACTGAAAACACGTACATCGGCAAGCATTTCGTGCAGCGTCTGGAGTTCGTGCGTAGGTCGGAGAATCTTGCTTTGAACCCATATGTTGTAAAAATGGGTCTTGACGAGGCCTAGTTTTTTTTGAAACTAGTTAGTATAGTATAAGGCGTGATAAAATAAACATACCAAGGAACAAGTTATGCATAGGGTCTATGATAACTTGTTCGACGATGTTGAAGTATGGAAGTCTTGACAGTTGCGTATATCTGGTCGCAAATTCCTTGACGAAATTCTTGCGAGCACTAGCGGTGGTGAGATTTCGATATCGTTCGCCCAGTTCTCGATGCTCTTCGTTCGTCCGAACCTTGAATGCTGAGCAGGTCACCTAGTTAACATAAATCAATACAAGAGAGTTACTTACCTCCATCAGTAAAGGCTGAGAGTTTGTCCTTGTTGGCGATGTCGATCCAGCATGCGGTACAGAAGTGAGTATGTGAATGTGAGGCGAAGCCCCCAATTTTATGCGCGGCGGGCTTATCACAGACGACGGCCACCAAAACAACACGTACGAGGCGTCCTACAAGTCAGTGAATGAGATGTGACCAAAAAATGAGTGAGTGGAGGGACTTACCTTGGGGACACGATTCAGTAGGTACTCTAATGCCGTCTTTCCATAATCGAAGGAGGTCCGAAATGATTGGGCGGAGAAACCGCTGGATTTGATCCGGGTTCTGCTCCTTGGGGCCAGGAAGAATGCTGGTGCACATCAAATTAGATGTGCGATACCTATAGACGTGGTTAGATGGTGTTGTATAATCAAATCATCCTGCTGAGAACTCACCGGTATTCGGGTGGAAGGTTGCAGATGGAAAAGGAAGTCGGGCACGACGAATGTGACGGCGCTATATTACTTCGTATGTATGAGAACCTTATTGATTGAGATTCAGCGCAAACTAAAACGAGGAACATGTTGAAAGCTCACCAATCGACACCAAGATTAACTCCAATACGTAGTTCTCCATCCGGACCAGCTTTTTCATGGGGAAGGTTTGAAAAAAATAGTTTACCATCCGGTGCCTTCAGTTTAGTCTTGCATACACTGCCGTCGAATATATCGATGTACTGATTTGGAGCTCGTGGCTTAGAACGCCAGCCATCAAGGATAGATTCAAGGCCCGGAACTTTGAGTAGTGACTTGAGTTGATCTGAGAGCGGGAGGTAAGGGTATTTGACGAGTGGTGACTTGAGGGAGCGCTGGTTGCCGCGTGCAGTCTTGTCAGGTAGAAAGAGGTCCTCGTTGCACAAGGTACATTGATCATGAGATTGCGGGGAGCATGCAGGTGGAAACACGTCCCGACACGATGGACAAACGGGGAGAGTGTATATAGGTTTGTCGACTCCGAGTACGCGATTGCTGGATTGCAGGGTGACAAATGGAGGTTCTATATTGGGTGAAAGGGTGAGTAGAATACATGCGAATATGGCCAGCAGCGCGTTGCATGCAACTTTTGGGAGGTGGAACTGTAAATGGAGCCATGACACGACTGCATAAATCGAGACAAGGTGACCTGGGAGGTGTGTGAGATCAGTGGTGTCTTCTGCGCAGAGTCCGTCTACAATAAAGAAAGGATCAGTATCGTCTTCGGCAGGTTGTGCTTCGCCCAGTATATCCTGGTACTCGTCAACATCTTCGAGAGGATTTGCGTCAAGATCAACGTCCTGATCGAGATCTGGATTTTCTTGAGCGTGTTGTATGGCCTGTTGGAGTTGGTATTGGAGATCGTGCTCTTGTTGATCTGGCGGGAGATTGTGGGCATCATGGGGAGTCAAAGGACGCGAGCCGGCAGCTGTAGCTGCGTTGTATCTGTCGAAGTGGTCAATAGCAGCAAGCAAGGTCTCAGGACTCTGAATATGGATCGGTCTCTCAGAGCCAAGGTCCTCAGGCTCATACCCGGTGTCCAGCACCATGCCATCCAAATCCGGAGGGAAGTCGTAAAACTCGAAGTTGGGAGATATAGGGGTTGGAGGTTCGCGTAAGGGGACTGCAAACCCTCGCAGAATGGGTCCAGCATCTTCACGAGGGCCTAGGATGACGCGTTCACCGATACGCTGGAAGTTACCCTGTTCAGAAGTAGTTCGGTTGCGTAGATCTGCACGCTCGTGTGCACGAGCGGTGTGTGCTGGGACGAGAGCTCCTTGACAGTTGTTGGTTTTGCAGCGGCAGCGGACGGTGGGCATGTTGGCGATAACGTAGTTAGAAACTTGCACGCGCGTTGCGAAATAGCGGGATCACGTGAATGCATCGCAAGCGCTCCTACTTTACAAACAAAGTCTATGGTATGCTACTAGTTAATATTCATCAAGGTTTTGCTTTCTTTTTCTGAGACCAAAGTCAGAAAATAGCGGAGAGTAGATAGAAAAGAACCCGATACATACCTCGTTGTACCAGCGATGAAACTCTGCGGGTGTAGCAGGCTCATCTTTGATCTCCTGGTCTGACTCCGGTTCTGTTTCGCTATCGTCGACTATCAGCCCAGTACCAACGAGCGCTTGAGCAGTAAGTTTCTAAAATATGTGCTATTCAACATCATTCAAAATGAAGATGGCCGAGGACTCACTGGTTCTTCAGCGCCCAGCTCCGACTCCGGTTCAGTGACACTATCATCCACCGCTGGAGGACCTGCCTCAATAGCACCCAACCAATTTGTGAACACTCCTGGTACCTCGGTGTGTGTGCCGCTGACATCGGGGCCCTTGACAGTACCTGCTTGTGGGCATAGCATCTGGAGAGGCTGAGTTATTGATATTTCAATAGTCTGCAAAGAAAATTAGTTAGCATAAGTTTATTAGCACAAAGGACTTACTACGGGTCCTGCTGTCCTGCACTCGAAAGTGAATTTAAATGTTGTCACATCCACGGGCAGCTCAACTTTGATTGCACCGCAGGTAGCCATAGCGCGAGTAGTAACTAACACGGGACTTAGAGAAAATTTTGAAAACCTACCTTGCTTAAAGTACAACCTAAACAGACGTCGAAAGGTGATGTTTCCGATGCTGGTTTGTGGTGGAATGGCACGCATTTGAAGAGAACAAACGGAGGTCGGAAAAGACGTACTAACGAAGTTGGAAAAGTGTTTGTTTACTCATGTTGCTTCAGACTCAACAAGCACATGTCGGATTTTGGTCTGATTACATGCTAGGTGTGTTTAGGGTCGTATTATACGTGCTTTCTATCTCCGATTAGGGTCTTGCTAAAAAGTCGTTTCTGCAGTGATTCTTGAGGGTCACACATATCGTGTCAACGCCTTCTCCTTGTCTCCGAACAACCGCTTCCTTGCAAGCGCATCATATGATAAAACTGCGCGTCTATGGAATCTCGACGCGAATCTCCCAATTGGACCACCCCTCCAGCACGAAGATACAGTGCACTCCGCGGCCCTTTCTGCTGATGGAACAGTGGTAGTCACTGGTTGCGAAAATGGAAATGTGTATACATGGGACATTCGTGCCATCCTCAAAGAAGCTGGCCTGGAAGACCTACTGTCCACCGGTACCATTAATATTGCGAGTTTCGACGCGTACACATGGGACATCTATGCCTTCCTCAAAAAAGCTGGCCTTGAAGACCTACTAGTACTTTCCACTGGTACCAATATTGTGAGTGTCAACACCTTACCCACCCTCTCTCTCGCTGACAATGTCTGCTACTAGGCACCACAAGACGGACTTGAACAGAAGGGATCTCAAGGCAATTTAGCAATAGCGCGAACCCCCCGCTCTTCGCTAAGTGACAAGTCGTTTTTGGAAGTACGCGGGGTGTTTTTGAACCTGCTCGGTGGTTACAACATTAACGTTGCAGGCTGATGCTACGCGATGTCACAACGAGTTCGGGGGTCATGTCGGTGAACTCCCACCTAGATTTTTTGACAGTACGGAAGCTGAAATTCATGTCCGTCATCGACATTTCTATTACTCAAAACTTTTTCCCTGATCTTTGTACTCTCAGCCCTCCCAAACGGGTGGTGCCCACCCTCATTCCTCTGCAAGTGCACTCCTCGCTCGCCTTTCCTCGCTCCTCCACCGCTTTCGACACGACAATGCTGAAGCGACTGAACTGCCACAACCCCCGACGCCTTCGAGGTTACATCCACAGGTGCTCCTCGCTCGCCTGTCCTCACTTATTCACCGTTCTCCACCTGAAAATGATGCAGCAAACGAACTTCAGCAACCATCCACGCCTTCGCGGTTAGATCTACATGCGCTCCTCGCTCGCCTGTCCTCACTACGTCCCCGCCCTCAACCCAACACCGAAGAAGAAACCGAAACTCATCCCACAAGACATTCGGATTCACGTTCAAATACACTCATCGATCGTCTGTCCTCACTCTTCCGCACCGGCGAAGCAACCGAACCTCAGCAACCCCCAACACCCTCGGGGTCACGTGCAGGTGCAATCATTAATAGCTTGTCCTCACTCTTCCGCTCTCCACCCAACGCCGATGAAGAAGTCGAACTCCAGCAATGGCCAAGGCAAATCACCTCCTCTCATCGCAGTCCTCATGATGTCCAAGTCGCTGCACAACGAGACAAGAAGGTATGTCTGTCTTCAATTTGTCGATTCGTGGAGTCCAATGATTTCTGTGCAGGCATTGTTTGTTGCTCGCCGACCGAAAACGGCTAGTGAAAATGCGAAACGCGTCAAGAATCCCAAACCGTGGGTTCGTGTAGTCTTCTTTCTCTGCTGCGTCTCTCCTGTTACCGATGACAGCCCTGGTACCGACGGGACTCCTCGCACCACATAGATAATTTTGTAACTACCTCATCAATAATGTACATTTTTATCACATGTTCTGTTTCAATTCATGTCTGTCGACTCTGGAGACTGATATTATGATTTCAGAGGAACATATCAGCGATTTGACCCTGCTCATTCTCGACCAATTTATAGTCAGGAACAAATTCAATTTGGACCGGAAGCCCACACTAAATAATATCTTGACGGGAGGTCATTTTAGGGTTCTTGAAGACCCAGAAGATGAGCACCGCAATCTGGCGGGTACAGCATCGGGTGACGGCACGCCGCACAGCCTGCAAAACATGCTGAAGATTTGACGATATCGAGTTAGAAAGTAGAGAGGAAGACACATCAAAGCAGAGAGGAAATGCGGCTCCCATCGAACTTTGTCACCATCATGAAGTCCCTTACATATAAGATACACACAGTGCCGGTCGCAGACCTGAGCGCTTTGTCTACACAGCAATGAAGCTGTGAAGCCAACGCGAGGGGATGATGCATGGGGGGTGCCTTAAAAACGGTTTGAACGAACGGGCGCCCAATTTACTCTTATCCCAACCAAACACCCATTGATCGTACTCACCAGCAACCATTTACCGTCTGATAACCCGGTCTTGTTCAGAGATCTCTCGCATAGATAGTGACCCATCTGCAGTACTTGAAACCCCCAGCGCCGACCATGGCTTCCTTCGCCAGCGAAACGCCAGCGACTATGCCACGTCAGACCATGCAAGGTCATACCAACTGGGTAACAGGTGTTGTCCATCTGCCCAGTGGACGACACATAATCACATGTTCAGTAGACGACTCGCTCCGACTATGGGACCTAGAGAACGGCACACAGATAGGTGATGACTGGCGAGAGGATAGCTCAGGAATAGGAATATGGTCCATGGCATTGTCTCCAAACCACAAGACAGTTGCAAGTGGAAGCAATGACGGGACAGTGAGCTTGTGGGATGTCGAGACGAGGAAGGTGATATCGAAATGGACGGGACACATCGATCTTGTGTGTGCAATGTGCTGGAGTACGGATGGTGGGCGAGTAACGAGTGGATCCTGGGATGGGACGGCACGAGTCTGGGATGTCGAGAGTGGCAAAACTATCCTGAAAATCAAAACCGGGCACAAGTGGGTGAACGCGGTGATATACTCGCCCGATAAAGAAAACATTGCGCGACGGGCGGAGACAACGAGAATGCAGTCAAAATCTGGAATGCAAAGAGGGGCAAGCTGACCACCACACTCAAACACCTCGGACCAGTTCAGAGCTTGGCCTGGACGTCGGACGGAAAGAAGCTTATTTCCGGTTCATATAACCTGATTAGGATATTCGACACAACCACTTGGCAGCAGATTGCCTTTCTTGAGGGTCACACGATTAGTGTCGACTAGTGTTGCCGCAAGTTCGGCTTAATGCCGGTTTTAGCCGTAGCTGGACTTGTAAATAACCGAGCTAACACGTGACTTCGGTTTATATAATTTACGGTCCGACTCGACTCGATAAAATGTAGATAAGTCGATTTAAGGGGTTAAAACCAGTTCAAAATATTTTTTTAAATTGAAGTTAAAAATACATTAGAAATAAATTTAGACGCTGAAACTTAAAGACTCGAAAGCCCGATTAGGAAATGAACGCGCTGTAGATTGATATCGATCGTACAGACTCACAAACGTACTCTACATCTAAATACCACACACAAATGGGTCCCCAGAACAACGTAAGTGTTCCCGTTAGCCTTTGATTAAACGCTAAAAAAGATGTTAGCAATACTATAGCCTCGCTCAAGTACGAAAGTTGAACCAGGCGAAGCGTGAGGCCGATAGGGCGGCACAAAGCCGCAAGTCAAGGGAGAGAGCTGAAAGGGTTCAACGGGAAAGAGGATCTCGGGAGCCTTGGAGATTGAAGTGGCGACGCTGGTTGGCGAGAGTGGTGGGTCGTGAGGTGCTGGAGTAGGGCGGCAATGGGGCGCGCGAGATTGGGTTGGAAGGTGCAGGGGGAGTAGGCGGGCGTTGCAGAAATCGGCGAGATCCTGTAGGATACATGTTGAAGTTGTCGTAGCGAATACTGAGGTACAGCGTGGCACTTGGGGAGGGAGAGCTCCAGGCTTTGAGTGAGGTATGGTGTGAACTGGCCTCTGAGGGTTGCGCAATAGACAACGAGAGTGTCGAACACTTGGCATTTCTCGTCGGTGATGACTGAAAGGACTATGTTGCCAGAGGATGCGTCACCTGTAGGACCGCCAAAGGTAGCGGTAGATCAGTTCAAGTATGCATATCGGGGTTCTGACTCAGAACACCGGTCATGACAACAACAACGTGCTCGGGCACGACAACAACAACGCGCTCGGGCACGACAACAACGAGACACTCGGGCACGACGACAACGATACGCTCGGGCACGGCGACAACGACGCGCTCGGGCACGACAACAACGATACGCTCGGGCACGACAACAACGATGCGCTCGGGCACGACGACAACGATACGCTCGGGCACGACAACAACAACGCGCTCGGGCACGACAACAACGATACGCTCTGGTCCACGTGTGGGGAAATGTCGTCGAAGGGTGGGGGGGCACTGGGGAGGGGTACTGCAGGAGATCCAGATATCCTAAGCCAGGGGATTGTCAGATGCGCTTTAAGGTAACAATTGAAATTGGATATACAAACACACTGCAAAAAGAACTGCAAAACGAATCATAAGGCGCGTGATGGTAAGCAAAATGTAAGAAATGCGGGGTAAAAATCTAAGTTCGAGGAGATGTCAGGTATCGTAGATGGTAACCTGGTCAATGATGTCATCGCACTCGTGCTCTGCCATGACTCTGAGAACAGCATCATATGCGCAACTGTCACCTGCTGTTTCACTAGAAACAGGTGCCAAAAGCTCGTCGGAGCCATTGTCAGATACCACCGCACCTTCCATGGCCCATTGCGATGCCGCCCAACCTTTAGTGAAATTAAGTCGCTCCTTTTTGACGGAGAACTTCACCATCTGCAGTGCCTCCATGAGGACCGGGCTGATTCGGTTGCGCCTCTTCGTATATGTTTCGCTGCTTGACGAGAACACCCGCTCACAGGGAACGGCAGACGCCTGGATTGGGAGGTAGTCCATAGCAATGGCGTAAACCGTTGGGAACATCGCCTCAGACATCTGGTCAAAACATCGCGGTCAACAATGAAATATGTAACTTAGCGGAGAACAAGGCTCTCACCTGCCAGAAGGAGAGTACATTCGTTCCCGAAGGACTAAGATTAGCGGTATTATAAGCCCCAAATTCCTGTTCAACCGTCTGGACAACATCGGGGCAAAGCGGGAGTGCATTCCTCTCAGGCATTCCATAGATACGCGAGCCTAGTGTGCGCGACTGTAGTCGTGAGATTGGGTGTGATGGAACTGGTACATCAGAGATCTTTTGTGCTCGCTTCGCATGCATCTGCAGGACATGTGAGCGCACGTCGTTGTTGTTTAAATAAATGTACCAGATCTAGAATGACTTTCTTCGCCGATTTGACTCGATTTTCTTCCCAGTGCTCTTCAGCCCACGACAGTCGGCATGTGGGATCAACAACTGTAAAATAAACCATGAGATATCGACCTTTATGAAAGTGCGAGGGACTGACACATTGCAACTGCATATGCGTTCGTGCAGGCCATCCGGTCATCATACTTCTCCGCCCAACTTAAACCAATGTTGATGAGTGGCGCACAGTGCGGGGCGCCAACAGCCAACTGCTTCCAATCCTTGAGTAACCTTTCAAAAGTCGGAATGGCACTACCCAACATGGGAGTGCTCTCGCTCGACATGGATTGCTGAGCTCGGTGTGGGGGCTGACATCACACAGTTAATTGCAACATAGATTTCGAAGATATTGATGCGTACCTCAAGAATGACTTCAAAGTCCTGTAAGAAATGCCATTCCATCGGACTCAACTTTTTCTCATGTATGGAGCGTTGATTGGCTGACTCGAAGAATAAATCAACCGCCTGGGCAACTGTTAGTCAATGACAAATGTTTAGTGAGACGAGGCCTTACCTGACGTAGAGTTCTTAGACGATTAAGCATCACGTAAACTGAGTCCCAGCGTGTTGGTTCGTCGAGCAGGAGTTCGACTTCAGGGAGCTTTATGGGCTCGCCGGCATCTCCTTGGAACCATTCCTTTTCATTACCTATCACAATCGTATCCCTGAAGTTCCTGCGTCGTTGATCTGATGCCCGAACGGAGCGCACGACATTTCTGGCACGTTCGAGAGCTTTACCGGTGATAGCGCTCACATAATCCTTCTTGTCGATGGGATGACCGCAAACATCCCATGCGTCCTTGATGCCTGAAAAGTCTGCTGTGCCATAGTCGTCGATAATATGCTTCACGCATATGTTGATTACATGCGGAAAACAGGGAATGTTGTTGTCGATCGGATCGTAATCAATCTGGCGTTCCTCGAGTAAGCGGGAGAGCTCCTTCATCGACGTTTTGTTGTTTGCTGCATTGTCCAGAGTGAAATGTCCAGGCTATATGGAGTCAGAGCGTGTCATATAAGTACAGTTAAACACTTACATCTTTTGCGACGTCAGCGCGATCGAGGAGACGGAGTAATGTGGAACCGAGAGATTTGCCAGTATGGCTTCCAGGAACGTGGTGAAAGGCAATCAAGGCTACCCTCAAGACGAGCACTGATGTCTTCTCTTCCTTTGCAATCCAGTGGGCAGTGAGCGCCATGAACGGGCGTAGTTTCTTATCCGACCAGAGGTCAGACGTGAAGGATACTTTTCCTTGCGCCCTCTGTAAGGTTATATAAGACACTTGATGGGACTCTCAACAACTAGACACTTACCGCAAGATCAGCTTTCATCACCTGGAAATATTTATGCCACGCGACGATAATCAATTCACGAAGTTTCGTGCAGTGGGGAATGTCTGTCTCCTTCACTTCCCTCCGCAGAAGACGGATCAGCTGCCTAAACTCGACGCATTCGATTATATTCATAGCCTGTGGAT